CAAAGAAAAAATGAAAGACTGAAGCTAAAGTTATAAGATATAGTTAAAAATGGAAAGCTTCATCAAGTAGTGATCAGAGTAGATGAGATGAGTAATCAAGAGCAGTACTGCTCCTGTACTGTAGAAAAGATAAATATGTGTTTGTGTAGGGTAATTGTTGCACATTTCCCATTAGACAGAGATAGCAGAGACAGAATTTATTCAGGAGAAGGTTGTCCATTCATTAAAAGCTACATATGCATTACCTATTGGAATGCATCTGTTTTTCAACCTACAATTTCCTTCATGTAAATTTAATTTCATTATTTATTGCATAAGACACCAGATTACCAGTGAGTTTACAAAGAAACACTTTGACAGCCAGTGAGTCTTTATTACTTATTCACATACCAGATGTGTTGCATGTGATTTTTTCATACGTTTAATGGGTAGTGCAGTCTTTCACATTGTTTAATCCACGCCCTTAACTTCTCCTTCTGTGTCTTTAATTTAGGGAATGGGCAAAATTTAATTCCCCACTCCAAACTTTTGGGACATTGGTTAAGTTTCCCACGTGCAAAGCTGCAGCATGAGTACTTATCAGATTGCCTACAGTTCATAAATTGGTCAGTCTGTGTTTAGGTAAGGTCTTTAATGAAGGATGGGTCAAGGTTAGGACCATCCAGTGCGCTAACAGAATGCACCCATGCACTATGTTTCCATCCAGAATGTTTTTTGCTAAAAACATTGCAATGCTTCAGTAGATTTGTAGATGTAGACTATGGAAACAGAAATTATCAGTAATAATTTATGAATGTTGACAAATTTTTTCCATTCAAAAATTGTTTATATTATATAGAAATATATGAAAGCTTGGTAAAATAACATATTCTTTAATCAGGTTTCTCATAGATTAGTTTGATACATTTTAAACCGTGTGTGTGTGCATGTGTTTTAGTGTGTTTTCCAAAAACAGCTAAACTGTACAAGAAATATTTCTATAACCTACCCTTTTGAATGTTTGTGTGAGTATGTGTATTTGCATGCTGCCAGGCTGAGAGACAGGTGGTCTGAGCAGATTGTGGCATATATGTTCAGTGCTAATGGTTAATGTAGGTGATGTTTTTTTCCTGGTGTCAGCCAGATAGGTGGTGGATGATGACACACCATTCACAGGGCAAATATGATTTTGCAAATATTTTTCAGCAGCTCTGGGACAAGGAAGTACCTGAAATATCTCAAATGAATCACTGTGTTTGAGCAATGCAATCGAGTGAGGGGCCTTGACTTAGAAGAACCACCTGTCATATTTTTATGGCTCATAATTATATTTCAGTGCCTTTAACTTTCATCATATGCCTGGCAGCCCAGGGAAAAGTATGTATATTTAATGCGTTTACACCCTAGCACTATTTGTATTCGTGTGTCATAGAAATAATGTTAGCCTTGCGGCCAGCCTAAGGGCACAAGGCCACCAGGGACTTTGAGCTATGCAGTCAGACAGGCGATTCCCAAACCATTTTACCAACTCTCAGCCTTGCACACGTTAGCAGGTAGCCTTTAGCATTGCATTGGGACACACGTGTGAAATACTGCCATGGCACCTCCTATTCTCCTTTGGCCCAGAGGTACTATTATGATGCAAGTGCCTGAAACGTGTGCTGAAGTGCAGATGACAGCCTTTTTCTACTGAGATTCTGGAAAAAAGTCTACTGTTAGCATTGTTATCACTGCTGGTGTCTGCACCAGTGGTGAACCTTAGTGTTGCCAGACAGTGGCCATCTGTGTAATAAATGTCTAGAGTTATTCATTTGAAGACAAATAGATAAATTCTTTACTGAGTGAATTCCATGTTTTTAGTTTGTACCATACACACATATTTGGTGAGACAGACATAAACCTCAAGACAAAACCTTAATTTTGTGTGGCGCACACATATACCTTGGGGAGGGCGGTTGGAGTGGGGAAGATGAGGAATAAATGTAGTGGATGGTAGGGGGTCCTATACAATAATAAGTGCCTAGCCTTGTTGAGGTCTCACAAGTCGTGGAAAGCCTATGAATTTGTTCATCTACTGTTCAGCCCGTAAAGAAACAGGTTGAACACTATAGCAGGGTAAGTTCAATTAGCAGCAAATGTGCTGGATAAATGTGATTTAGAAGTAAGACTTTAGCTCAGTCATATGCCTTTTTGATTAGGCACCATTTAATGTCCATGACAGCATATGGCTAGAGACAGTTGAACTGCTCCTCATGTGATATTATATGTTCATGATAGACATGGACATGCTTTATAACATAATTTAACATGTAATGAATTGCATATTACTTTGCAATTTTTAAATACACTTTGGACTGAATGTATGAAAATGTGAGGATACAAGCAGCTAAAATTGCATCTTATATTCAGCCAAATAGCAACATCTAAGTAGAGTTATATATTGAAATACTGCAAACAAAAAAGGTGCCAAATTTGATTAGTGTAATTTGTGTAAGTTTATTCTTCTACAGATCAAATAGTTGTTTAGTCACATGCCTAAAAACAAAGATAAATCACTGGATCATCTAAACAGTCAGGCACAGATCAGGGATTATACTAACTGCATGCAATAAACAAACATTAAATCCTCTCTGTTTTCAGTTTCTGTGCCTTCTTTCTTGAACGGATTTTTAAATATTTGAAAAAAGTAAATAGCATAACTGGTTAAAATGCCCGCTGCTCGTTTATGACAGGTTATGAGGTGTATTAAATTGATGTCTCTTATGTTGTTATATTTTGCACAGCAAGCAACAAATTGTTTTCAAGTTGGGGGAAAATGCATAATGCGTTGTTTTTGAATTGAGCTGAGCATTAACCTGCCTGTTCCTCCTTTTTTCAGCTGGATCTCGTACAGGTGGCTGGCAGCTGGCTGACTGTCCGCTCGTTAATGATTCACTCGTTCTCCTAACGATGGAGGCCAGGCCAGAAACGCGTCGTGCCAACACCATCAAAATGCCACCAGCATTATAGTGGCCCTATCCAAACATACAGAGCCTAATTACCCAGTGCTGTTTATCAAGCAGACTGTAAACTCTTCCCTTCACCCCAACCACAAAGCACAACAACATTTTGCATTGTCAGAAGAGAATTTGCCAGATTCCTTCTGCAAAACCCCATTGTAATGCTGTTAACTGATTTACGTGTAACTTTGAGAGCCAGACGGATCAGCCCTCAGACTTTGTTAAACCAAAGTTTATTTATTTATATCTTGTCCCAAAGGAAGCCATGTTATATTGTTATGAGTCTCCAAGCACATTTTACATAATCCACACCAAAGGAAGTCCTGACAGCACCCCTTCTGAGAGATTTCACCCATTCTTAAAGCGTGTCCCTTTGGGTTCCTCAGAAGCTCCCTGTAGAAGAATTCTCCATGAGTACAGAAAGCAGCAGACATAAAAATGTGTTGCCCTATTCGGAGCGAAGTACGGATGATGAAACTGAAATTTGTACAAACAAAGAAAACAAAGGAAAGAAACACCGTGGAAATACAACAAAATAAAGAAAGGAAGCTCAGCGGGAGTTTCTTTAAAGTGCAGTTGTTGAAGACCCATCTTAACCTCTGTCTCAGATGCTTAGAAGCAGCCAGTTTTCAGCAAAGCCACAACAGTTGTATGTTTTCAGGATTAGGGCTGTGAGAGCTGAATGTCAATATGTTTTCCCACTTTTCAACATTCAGATCGAATAAAAAGCACATAAGTTTGGAGCCACGACATAGAAGAACCACTTTTGGTTCCCTGAAGATCCTTTTAATTAAGCAGTTACAACTGAGATTTCTAAAGAATTTTTGACAAGAGTAGAAAAGCTTAATAAAACCAGCACTGCTGATTTGCCTGTGGATATGGATGTGTTTTCTGTTCTGCAGTGCAGCTCAGCTGAAACACTTAGCCCTTATCCTGCACTGTTTGTTGAAGGAGAAAAATATTTTGGCAGATAGAGTTGTCTATTGTGCGACCAACAACAGTACAGAGAGCTAACCTTTATCATTCTTAGTTCTTAATTGGAAGCCGTCGGAGGCACGTTTTGCCACAAAGGACAAAAGCATAATTATCATTCAAAACAAGAATGCGACTGCCAAAGGTTAGGCTTAGCAGCGTGATTTTAAAAAAAGCAGAAGAAAGATGGAAAATGCAAATACAGTGGCACATTTTGCCCGCTTTTAGCCAAGCAGGCGTGTTTGATTCGGCTGCGCGTGTTTCTTCGCGGCAGATGCCATATTAAACCCTGGAGCGCCTGACGCTTCCTCCAGCCTGCGCTATTAGGGTAATTAAAGCGCAAAATGCTATCTGACTGCAAATTCCCGCACGAACCAGGCCTTTTGGCAACTTCTCTATCCGGCTCGTGTGGGAGGCGCGTTCTCAGCTAAACCCAATTACCAAAAACACGGTTAAAAAAACCCTTTGATTGGCCAGCTTTCTCTCATCATTATTGAGCCAAGTCAAGGTCGCAGATTCAATTAAAAATGCCTGTTCGGACAGAAAGCTGGGAAATAGCACTTGTATATGTGTTTGAGCCACACCGAGACTTCAAAGGAACATCACCGAGAAGGATTTTTTAAGTTCTCTCTCTCTCTCTCACTCTCTCTACTGAAGTAGAAGTGAGGAAAAGAGATAATATAGAGGATTTTTATTAGTAATATTTTATACCATGTGGACAAGTAGTGGATGCATAGTGGTAATTTTTGGAAAGTCCATTGTTGAGGTTGTGATGTACTATACTGTATATTGTATTTAAAGGTCAGTATGGTGGGCCCCTGCAGCTGTACTCTATAGAAACTTCCATCCAGAGCTTTAACAACTCGAACCTTATGGGAAACAACAAAGAGTTGTTTTGAGGCGACTCCTCGAGGTTTAGCCAGTGTTTAATCCAACCTCTTCCTTTCCTTTCCTCTATTTCTTTCTTCCTCCTCTCTTTCTTTGGGGGTCTCTCTCTCTCTCTCTCTCTCTCTCTCTCTCTCTCTCTGGTGGGCTGTGCCCAATGAACAGGTGACCATATCAGTGGATGGTATTTTGACCACCACTGGTTACACGCAGGAGGATTATACTATGTTAGGCTCGGATGATTTCTTCTACATCGGAGGAAGTCCCAACACTGCTGACCTCCCTGGATCACCGGTCAGCAACAACTTCATGGGCTGCCTCAAAGATGTAAGTGCACAAAAAATCTAAATCTTTATAAGAACTTATTTACACTGCATATTTCCATTTAGTCAATCAGACTAAGTATATATTAACTTTGTTACCTTGGTATAAAATAATAATGCAGTTAATCTTCATATATTTTTAAATTGTAAGTCAGTACTGCCTTGATTCATCTGTGTGTGTGTATGTTTGTGTGTGTGTGCATAGGGGTAGAAAAAGTACCCACCACAAACTCCTCCTAAACTAAAAGTACTCGTACTGTAGTGCTAATTCACATAAATACAAGTACAAATACGTATATAAAGTCCATGTGAATTAGAAATCATAACACACTTTCCTACCACACTGTGACAGGGTATCAGGGAGGGTCTCTGAGGTAGTTCAGCTTTTCTGTCAATGATAGGTGGGGGTAGAATAAGGCAAAACATGATATGATTGGTTGATATTACTTATAACAGCCTGCTGGTGCACAGTGATGTAATCAAAACTCAGCAGAGGTTTTGGAGGTGGGCAAAACTCACTACACTATGCTATTATGAATTGTGCTTAAAATGAAATACAAGATAAAAAAGCTGACCTTTGATTTCAGGTTGACTTAAATAAAGAAAAGAGTTAGTTTACTGTTTATTGAAAAACCACTCTTATAATTTATTTGAATTACTTGAATTTCATTTTCACCTTACAGAAATGTCCAATATCATGGTTTTACAGGGCTTATTAGCTACTTAAGATAACCTGTTCACTTTCAACATTAGGTTACATTACTAGTTAACAGACTCACAGTATAACCTGGAAAACCACAGTTTTAGGCTTAATACATACAAGTCAGCCTTGGCATTCTTAAACAACAAAATCCGATGAAAAGAAAACAGTAGCGGTGTTAACTAAAATATAGCTGTCAGGTTGCAAGCTAACTGATTATTTTCTGAAGTTAGAGTATGATTGGTGAATATTTTTTTTTTAACTAAACTAGCTGCTAGCTAAATAAAAGTAATATAATTAAACTCAAATTGCCATTGCAAGGATAAAATGTACTCAAGTATTGTAATGACTTTATTACTTTTGAAACCAAACTAATGCTGATGTTCAGGATTCAGGGTTAGGTGGAGCACATCCACATTTATCCTAATTAAGCTAAAAAATGAGGAAGTCCCCCTCAAAGACACAAATAAACAAAGCATAGAAAAAGCATAGAAGCATTTTACTTGCTTTAATTTCTTAAGGCTTTAGAACTGAACAGAATGACCTGTCCTGCCATCTAAATACTGTTAAAGTGAGTGATAGGATAAAGTAAGTTACAGAGTTTTGTGCTATAAAACCATCTTAAGTCTTTGTTTTCAAATTGTGCCAGTACATTAGTTCTGTTGTTTTGTCAGAGCATAACTGTACCCTGAAGATGTTTTTGTTTTTACACTTCATAATGTAAAATTTTTTTTGGCAGGACAAACATAAGGTTTGTAGTCAGTGATAAGGTAGCTAACAGGTTGTTGCATTTGTCTTGTAGTTGTGTGTGTTTGTGTTTATGTGTGTATATCTGTTTTTTTTCCATGTAAAGGTTTGCACTGGAGTTATTCTCCATAGATTACTGTTCATACCGCTCGGTTCAGTGGTGTACTGTTCTCCTCCTTTTTCAATTGCTCTGATTGTGTGTGTGTGTGTGTGTGTGTGTGTGTGTGTGTGTGTGTGTGTGTGTGTGCTTGTTTTCTTTAATTAACTCAATTCCAGTGTAGTTGGTAAGCCAGCTTTAGCATCCTGACAGGCAAATTAAAAATTGATTTCTTCGATTGGCTCTGGCACTGCCTGCTTGTGTGCCCAAACACACACACACACACACACACACACATCTAAAGAAGAGAAGGAAGAAGGGACATGAGTACTTTCCCACCAAAGTAATTATTCCTCTCTTTTTGGGAGAGGGAACAGTCAGTTTTATCATGTATTTTTAGTGCACAGTCACCTTTACTGTGGTTTACATAAAGTGTTGCAGTATTCTGCAATAACCAGTTTGCCTAAAAGTAGCCAGCTTTGCTGTGTTTCTGTATTTGCTGTTGGTCTGTATTTGGTGTCCACAACTACAGTACTTGCACATAACTTTTTAGTAGATATAGAATAATTCATAGTAGATACTGTAAAATCATAGCAGATACTAAACAATTTGTAGTTGTTACTGAATAATTCATAATATGTAACATAATAGATGTTACAGATTAATACATAATAGTTACTGATTTATTCGTAATAGTAACCAAATAATAATTAGTCTGAATAATTCATAGTACTTATTGGATAGTTCATAGTAGGTACTGAGTAATTCATAATAAATTCTGAATATTTCAAAGTAGCTGCCAAATAAGTCATAGTAATTACTGAGGATATATTTATGGTTAGTATGCTAGTTCTCTGACAGATGAACAGAACTAAACAGTTCCAAAGACAAGGTAAGATTTCAGCACTTTCATTCATGCTTTTGGTTGCTGTTGGATGAGAGTGGTGATAATTCACTTTACACAGCTCTGAAATGAAATGCCATTACAGCAATCTGCGTATCTATCCATGCAAACCAAATCCCCCTGTGAGCAAGATTAAAATTGTCCTCAAGGGTGCTAGTACACCAGATTCAGCTTAGTTGACTGATGAGAAAACACTAAAGTGTGCAGTGCTGTGGTCTACCAGGACAGTCTGGTGTGAAACTTACTTTCTATTGTCCACCTAATACACTTGGCACTTATGCAGCATTCAGCTGTTCCTGAACTGTGTAGGATAAGGTGCAGAGGCCTCCATGAGCCCGTTATCCCAAAAATATTACTGAATAGGCGTAAGCAGAGTTACATCCACACTTTATTTTTCTGGCATGTGCTCTGATCATTTGAATTTATCAATTAAATACTGAATGTTACTGCTTTGTTTATGTTGTTATTGTATAAAAACCAGACAACAAGTAATGCAAGATTTCCCCTGGGGGCTTCTATCCTTGCAAAAGGGGGTCACCTTGCCCCCCCCCCACCACCACAGTGGGGCAGTATAACCCTTAGCAAGATTTTTATTCGGTGCTATAAAAACAAAATACTGTTCAAATTCATTTGTTCTACCTGTATATTGGTTCATGCATGATCATATACATGGTAAACAAACAGTATAATTGTACAGTAAGTGGATATTTTTCTAGAATTTTAGGTGAAAGGGCTGTTATAAAGTTAACCAGCTGTAGTACTGACCATTGCTCTGGTTTACACAGCTCAGTCTGATTCAGCACATTAGCTAATTATGAAGCCCTTCATTAGATGAAAAAGGTCCGTTTAGAGCAGGGATAGTATTGAGCTATACAAATGCTAGACCTGTCTAAGACTGGATTAGGAATGCCGTAATTTCACTGCTACACAGTGTTAAAGCTGTAGTTTCATTACTGTACCATGTTAAAGGTGTAATTTCATTACTTTGTCTACTAAACCCCTTAAGTACATTCTCTCAACTTTCAGAAGTTTCAGAAATGACAGAGTATGCATTTGCCACTGTCTGGCATTCTCTCTTCGTTCCTTATCGTCGTTTTAAATACTTGCTTATGCAAACGAGAATTCCCACTGAAGCAAGTCTCTGTCCCTCAAATATAAATTGTCTCCTTCGAGCTCTGAATTATAATTAGGTGTTATTTACAGTTAAGACCTGTGGGGATTATTAAGAGTTTTTTATGACAGTAGTAACTTCCAATGACTTTGAAATTTTTGAATATCTCATTACGTGTGTGGCCAGTATTTCATGATTTTCTTTTTACATAGACCTCAAAGGTGAGTCAGTGATCCTTGTTGAGTAGAACAAGATTAGGCTTTGCAAAGCCATGCCAAACCTCTCAATGTCATCTTAATTTGTTTTTGTTTTTTTTATCCCGTTACTTCTACATCAGGACTAACTCCCAGTTCTATTTTCTGTTGTTTTCTCTGCTTTAATGCACCTAATTCAATTCATGCCAACTGTCATAGCCTTAGTTTATAACAAAAGCTAAATCAGGTGTATAAACAGGGATAAAACAGAGGTGTGCACAGCATAGGTTATCCCAGTACTGGGATTAGGAACCCCTGCCCTAATGCCAACTTCCAGGCCTTGTCAGATTCCCCTGTATTCTGCTTATGATATCTCAGAGACAAAGACTTCGGTTTCAAGTGCTTTGTAGTCAGAACCATGATTACCTAATTAGCCTATTCTGTTTTGGTATCTTCCTCATGGTAAAAAATTACATAATGCAACCAGCTGTTACCTATGTAAACAAATCTATTTGCCCTAATCCAAGGGTCTGAAACATAAAGTTTAGCATGCTGCCTCATTTAACACACCTTATTTAATTTATCGGCTAATAAGGCATTTTGAGTTGAATTTAGTGTTCGAAAAAAGTGTTAGAAATCTCTTCAAGGTGTGGTCCTCTAGGATCTGAGTTTGATGCCCTTGGTGTAGTCAGTAGCTGGGTTTTCATTCATGCACATTCACAAAATTTCAGCAGAAAAGAATACAAATTAAGTCAGGTTTCCATCAACTACAATTGTGCAAAGAAACTTTCGGTGATGTAGTCTACCATGATTAGGGGCTGCATCAAAACGAGCCAGATGGAGGGATTTAACTCAGTTTTTGCTTTAAGTAGAATTACCTTCACAGCCATTTGCCACCTTTTTTATGATTGTTTTCAGCTCAGAGACACTGGTCAGGACGAGCAATGGTCCACATAGTGAGCTGAAAGGTCTGAAATCTCCATGCCACCCTAACAAAGTCCACCTTCTAGGAACGCAATCACATCAGACAATTCTGGGAGCACATTGTGCAGAACCATTTTTTAAATGAATGTTACGACCTGTCTAGGGGTTTGTGATGATCATAACATAAAAAAGACAAAAGAGAGCCAGTTGACGTTTAAACAGGTCATGTTATTTTCTTTTTATGCTGCTCTTTTGTGTATACGACACAGGAGAACGTCAGAGTGGGCATGCGTCAAAACAATAAACATAACCAGCCTAGCTAGAGATGTTAGAGAACTAACTTACCTATGTAAACATAAAGAAACAAAAATACAGTCAGTCTTTCCTAACTCCCTAACTATACCAAAAACAGGAGAAAACAAGGTCAAAAGAAATGGCACCCACTCCTAAAACCTGGTCGGCATAAGAGTGAACATTTACAGAGACAGATCATGAGCTTACAGTGTAACTGTAGAGATAACTGGGTAGGGAACAACGAGGTAAAGCTAAGCTATTTCATTCGGGAGGAGAGTAGACAATCGCTAGCAATAAAACAAACAAGCTGAGCTGCGGTTCGGATCTAAAAACAATCGCCCCAAGCCGCCATGGAGGAAAGCCTCGATGACATGCGGCGCAGCCGTCGAAGATATACTCCATGCAATTTCAGCCAGCCAATCAGATGCAATTTCGTTACGGGACTCCAGCCAATCACACGCACAAGTGGGCGGGTTCCTAATAAGCGAGAGTATGAGAGAGAGAGAGAAAGAAAGAGAAGCAAGCAAAACTAAACATACGTCCTATGGACGTAACAATGAACTTTGGCTTAAGTATTTCAGAATGTCGACTGGACAATCTGTAGGGCCAGTCGTTTGTTACGTACAGCATTGTTTTTTTAAAACAACTCTTTTCCAACACCCTTTTTTGATTTTCAGTCTTTTACATTCAGTTTGTTTTTTCTTTTGTGCATTTTCAAAATTCACAAAAAACCCACTCAGGACTAAGTTGCGCCTAGTTACCTAGCATTTACAAATGAAGCCATCCTTTGCTTTGACATGATGAAAGGGTATATGTTAGAAACTCTTAGGTCATGGATCCACATTTACGATTTCCCTCACAAATCCTTTTTCAGTGTAACTGACACACCATCTATCATCCTCTACAGGTTGTGTACAAGAACAACGACTTCAAGCTGGAGCTTTCCCGGCTGGCCATTGAGCGGGACCCCAAAATTAGTCTCCATGGCGACCTGGTGTTCCGGTGCGAGGATGTCGCTGCCCTTGACCCCGTGACCTTTGAGACACCAGAGTCATACATTGCCCTCCCGCGCTGGGACACCAAGAAAACCAGCTCCATCTCCTTTGACTTCCGTACCACAGAGCCCAGCGGCCTGCTGCTTTTCAGCCATGGGAAGCCTCAGGGCACCAAGGAGCAGCGGCATGGCCGTGAGCTGAAGACAGATTACTTCGCCATGGAGCTGCTGGACGGATACCTCTTCTTGCTGATGGACATGGGTTCTGGCAGTATCAAACTCAAAGCCAGCAATAAGAAGGTCAATGATGGGGAGTGGTGTCACGTGGACTTCCAGAGGGAAGGAAGGAAAGGTGAGAAGAAATGAAAGAGCTACACTACTGTTCAAAAGATTGGAATCACTTGTCATTTTAATTATTGTTATTTTTTTTACAACAACTCATACAATGTTATAACCAAACTGTTATAAACAAAATGCTACATAGAATTTTTATGTTGTTTTGTTATATACTTTTATTATCTATTTACAGTGAGATAGGCTGTTTTAAAATATGAAACTTTATGGGTTTTAATTTAATTCCTCAATTCTTGAAGTTGTTTACCTTTTTAGTAATTTTAAAATCTGCAGCTACATAGCTATAGCATGTATAGCTCTGTTCATCAGTTTGGGCTATGGTAACATGAACAGCCTCTCCCTACTAATTGTTTGTAACCATGGAAGCTGTACAGGAGTAGCATTTCATACATTTATCTGTTTTATATTATTGAGAACATTGATTCCAAACTTTGTAATGTATAGACACATATAGCATATAATACATAGTTCCAAAAATAGCTGTGACCAGTACTGTACAAAGTCAGAGACCACTGTTCAGTGGAGCTTGATTTTCTCCTCTCTCTCAAAGATGAAAGCTGTCTGTCTGATGGGAACAGTTTTGGTATCTACCAGGTCTTGCATGGTTGTTAGGAGTCTAGTTTTCTCTAAATCTTTTAATCATGTGTTGAGCCCTGCTTTTGGAAGTTCTGTTGTGAATAAAAACTAAATAAATGAAGGGTGGTCTCTGACCTTTGTGCAGTACTGTACAGAAAGACTGTGTACATCACAGACACTCTGTAAGAGCAGTGGGTAAGCAGAGGGAGGAAATGTGAGAACCCCTCCCCAAACACACACCCTCATGGCCTACACTGTAGAAGTAGTAAGTGAGAAGGTGTATTTCTCAGCCACTTATCCTACAAGAGAAGTCCTGCTAGAGCGCACACATACACACTCACTCTCATGCGTGCACATATGCACTCACGCACATCCCTGAAGGGAAGACTTTGAGAACACACAAATCTGTCACTCATTGACTTATTCTGCCAATGGCTGCCTCCATTTGGTGTAATTGGCTAATGGGGTGTTCAGCTCTATCTGTGTGTGTGTGTGTGTGTGTGTGTGTGTGTGTGTGTGTGTGTGTGTGTCCTAGAGGGAGTTTGTCCTGTCCTGCTGTAATTGCATTTTAATAGACAATTAAGAGAGCATCATAAATCTCATTGATACATCAGGAGAGAAGATGAGGATCACACATATACACACATACAGAGACACACTCACACACCTACACACTCTTCTGTAGCAGTTTTGCAGTGATCCTTCAGAACTGAGAGCCAGCAGTGTTCCACTAACGATATACGCACATGCACCCACACTCTTTCACCCCTTCACTTTCTCAGTTTCTTGTTCTCTACTCTCTCCTTTTTCTCTGTGCTCACAACTCAACTCAGTTCAGCTCAACTCAGCTCAGTACAAAGAAGCTTTATTGGCTCAAACTTATAAAGTTACAGTGCTGCCAAGGCATCTCAATCTTAATTTGTCACAGTCATAGCCAAACCAAGTTTTTGCTTTACTTTATTTCTATTTGCTGGTTTTGCAGATACACTTTTTGAATTTAGAATCACTTTTTTGCTTCTGAAATATTTCTTTTGTTTCTGACTTTTGCCACTTTTTAACAGGGTCGGGTCTTAGCAGAGGGCCTTCACTTGCACTCTGTTGTTCAACTAATATTGGGTGACAGGTCTTCTGAACATGTAGTGCGTGAAAGGCCCCAACATGGGGGAACACGTCGTGCTGACCGCTGCCTAGGCCGCAGTGTTGACATTGACATCTGACATTATTATCATTATATATTATCATATCATTATTATATTAGTGTTTGTCATATTCCTTTATTCCAATTATTAATCTAACCTATATTAATGGGTCCTGTGTCGACCTGTGTAAAACAATATAACTTTTATTTTGGGCGTTGAAGAACAGACTTAGTTGTTTTTAAATGAGCAAAGCTATGCCACCTTTCAGATTTACAGATGCTAGCACAAGCTAGCCTAGTACCATCCTCTAGGGCTAACTAGGCTAGCCATGCTGGTCATAAAAAATAAATTACTTGAATATCTAATGTTAGTTCACTGCATTGATATAAAGACTATTATGAAGACAGTGATTTGGAGCAGCAGCTTTCTGTACACTAGCATGCTAAGATAGAAAGTCAGCTTCACTGACTAATTCAAAGGGATTCTTTGGGTAGAAACAAGAAAAGCTGGCATAACAGCCTTCATAACCCCCAGAACATAACGGCCAACCATAATATGTTGACTTTATTCCCTTTGTAGTGATTAAACATGACCACCTGTCAGCTATCTCACGGCAGCTCTAACTCACATCTGGCAGAAATCAGAAGTTTTTTCCACTCTTTACTGTGTTTATGTCAGTGCTATGTTATTTGCCTTGACCCACAGCATCATAGCTTCAAAGATTTCTTGACCCAACAGACTTGATTCAGCTCAAGGACGGCTCGTTAATCAGATGATGAGCTGGATCAGGTGTTTTAAGGAATAGTGGAAACCATGCAGAGCTTAAGGCCACCAGACGCAGGGCTAATAAACACTGATTTAAACAGATGCAAAGCTTGCCTTTCAGCCCTTCAGCAGGCACTGCTAAGCTAGTTAGCCCTAGCAGATACAAACCTGAAAAATGGTACAGCTTCTTTTAACAGCATAATATACACATAATGTACTTCAATTTCCAAAATATACATTTTACACAGGGTGGCACCGGAACCTGAGTGTGTGCTACATTAATAAAAATGACAAACATTGCTCATAATGTCACACATGCCAGCGCAATCTTCTCTGGCAATTCCACACTGTGTACGTTGTGTTCCACCATGTTTGAAGCAGATCACAGCTCACAGAGTGGTCACAGCTGCATGTTCAGAAGACCTCTCATTCCAATTCAGCTGACCAACAGGTCAGTGCAGGTAAATGCCCTGTTCTAAGACCCACCTCAGGTGAAAATGTACCAAAAGTCAGAAGCAAAAGAGTGATTCCAGAAGAAAATGAGTAATAATCCTTTCAAAAAATTAAGGTTAATTTAACTCTCATCATTTGTATTTGCAACATTTTGGGCATTTTCATACTTAACATTTTGCTTGTGGATTTTATAATGTTATTTGAAACTTTTGGCAAAAAAATTAACCATACAAAGTGGCTTGGAGTAAAATTACATTACATCTGGGGTGTCCAATCTTATCCACAGAGCGCCAGTGTGGCTGCAAGTTTTCATTCTAAACATCCAGGAGCACACTTGATTCTACTCATTTAATCTTGATTGATTATTTGCGCTCCTACTACTAGCCTATTGTGGATAAAACTGGACATTAACTTAATGTGCATTAAAGCTAAGTATGAAGTTTTGTATGGCATCGACAATTTGTCATTTTATGTGCTCTCTCTCTCTGATGTTAACCAATTAAAATAACATTTAGAGCATTATAGCTTCATCTTTTCCAGAGCAACATATTTAATCTTATGACAGAGAAACGTCTTGCTTACAATCACAAGAATAGGTATGTGTGGTTTGCGCCAGCTGAGAATTGAATCCAGGTTGCAAGAACTGGAATCCTGTTACAACTATGCCATTGGCACTGCATGATAGATAGTATAACAGATACAGATGCTAATAGACACTAAAGGTGTTCTTGTTTAATTAGTTTAATTAGGTTATTTTTCCTTTCCCCTTTCACAGATACCTTTCTTAAATGCTGCTTTTTTAAACTTAGTAGTTTCCCTTCTTCTCCCTCGCTCCTCAGGTTCTATCTCAGTAAACAGTCGTACCATGCCCTTCAACTCCAATGAGGGCAGTGAGATCTTGGATCTGGACAGTGATATGTACCTAGGTGGGCTACCTGAGTCTCGGCAGGGCCTGGTGCTGCCCCCCGAAGTTTGGACGGCCCTGCTGAACTACGGCTATGTAGGCTGCGTACGGGATCTCTTTATCGACGGGAAGAGCCGTGACGTCCGGCGGCTGGCTGAGATCCAGAGCGCCCCCGGAGTCAGCAGCTTCTGCACCCGTGAGCTCCAGAAGAGGTGCAGCAGCACCCCCTGTGGCAATGGAGGAGTCTGCAAGGAAGGCTGGAACCGATACATCTGTGACTGCACAGGGACGGGCTTCCTGGGCAGCAACTGTGAGATAGGTGAGGAGCCAGTGATTTAATTAAGGAGCACCCCTGGGGGACCCCTTGATCTGCATGTTTTTGTGTTTCCTACCAGATGAGCCAGGGACATTTTAAGGCATTCTCGTGCCCTGGGAACTCTATCTGCACAAAGCAGAAATGCATTTATCATGAAAGAGAAATGCTAATTTCCACAGGACATATATAAGGCCGTTTAGCATCGACATACATCTGAATAAACCTAAATTAATAGCCACGTCAACACATGACTGCTGTGCACTAGTGTTACGTGTATAGGTTAGGCAACATAAAAAAATGTATAAGCTTAAGTTAACATTAGCTCACTTGAGTGACTGTATACAAATCATAAAGCTGTCCTTAGATGAAGAGTAAAACAAAACTGTCTGCAAAACTACAGATGATTTAAAACCTTCATCAAAGTAAGATTTTACTATTATTCCATTCACATATCAAGCGTTCTAGTGGCTGGAGTTTTGGGCTGGAACCCTTATAGTCTTGCAAGACCAGATCTCATAATGCACATTGTGCAACTGGGGACAGCCATGAGAAATTTTTGGCTAAATGTGGGTGGGAACATAGACTTCCTCGGTTGGCAACAAACTGTTTGTGAAATTTGTCAACCAACCCTTCTGAAAGCAGAGCTTATAGTAGGGAGCGATATTGCGCTCCTCAACATTTTATGATGGACAGCAATTTCTACTCAATTTCTGCTTATTTCTACTCATATAAGACTACTTATATGTTTGAATGGGGAGAGACAAATAAACCTGAAACTGAAAGCTTAAAAAATTACATCAATAATTCATGCTTTTTGGCTGAAATAATGCACAAAAATTAATAAACATGAGGATGTGGGTTCCATGTTGCAAAGAAAAAAATAGTTCCATTAGCTAACGATAGTTTTTCACTAGCTAACTTTTTTTGTTTATATTATCAATTGTATTCTGGACATTAAAAGACCACTGACTGGAGAAGTTTGGGAGTTAGTTTTAAAGGAGGCATACTCTTTCTTGCACAGGATTTTACTCCAGTTCAGCACAGTAAGTTTAACAAGTTGTCCCCAGACATGTGTTCTTTTTATAACATCACATCTCGTCCCTCAAGACTAGAGCCTCTACAGCCCTTTGAGCTTCTGCCTTTGGTTTCTGTGGACTGTCTCCAGAAATCACTTGATATTTTAAGATGTGTTTTATAGTCTGTTGGGAGCTTAAAGCTCCAATCAGTACCACAGTCTGCTGCTGGATTTGTTTTGAGCTAAAGGAAAGTATAACAAACATGTTTGTCGATTGGTCTAGTAGTGCCAGTTGTTGATATATTTCAAGCCATTGATGTTAAACTGACCTGCAAACTTGCAGGAATTCTTTATAGGAGCTTTAATGTTTATTATATGAAATATACACCGATCAGACATAACATCCTTGTTTCTGCGCTCATTGTCCATTTTATCAGCTCCACTTACTATATAGGTGCACTTTGTAGTTCTACAATTACAAACTGTAGTCCATCTGTTTCTCTCCATACTTTGTTAGCCCCCTTTTACCCTGTTCTTCAGTGGTCAGGACCCTCATGGAACCTCACAGAGCAGGTACTATTTGGGTGGTGGATCATTCTCAGCACTTCAGTAACCCTGATGTGGTGGTGGTGTGTTAGTGTGTGTTGTGCTGGTCCGAGTGGATCAGACACAGTAGTGCTGCTGGAGTTTTGCTGCTGGATAAGATGGACAATGAGTGTAAAAACAAGGTGGTCATAAAGTTATGCCTGATCGGTGTAAGTATAATGATACTACTTGTAATTTGAGTGAAATGTAGTTGATAGACTAACGATGGTGGAAGAGTGCACATTTCTTCACTAATACCAGCAGCAGGTTTTGCAATGTTGTGATTCTAAATGCTGATAATGCTTTATAGCACATCTTAGTTCTGAAAAGTGTTTATAAGTGAAGTTGCATCAAGACCACACCATTATTAACTGTACAGATTGGTGGATTGGGTGATAGGGGTTGTTTCTTGGTAACAGTGAAAGAAACTGCAGCCCCTCATCCTTCCAAAACAGCTTCTACGGTACCCACCTGGGACTGACCCCACAGCTCAGTACACTAGTCATTAACTCCAATCACTGAGCTAACTATTGTCATATATTCTGGAGCACACAGCAGAAAAGCATATACCTGGCAGGTTGTGCAAATACTTGACATATATCACAATCTTCCCAGAACATTCAACAGTAATGAGGGTCAGAGCAGGCACAGTGCACATACCAGCAATTCCTGAGAACCATTTAGAGTAGTGTTGTTTATATTGGTTGATTTTAGCAGTCAAGTGAAGGTCATTTTTAGGAATGTCATTTATTGCACCCTTTCAGGCAGTAAATTAATTTAACAGAGGTCAAATGATCCTGTTTTTTGCACAATCTTAGTCTATAGTGACAGAAAGGAAATTTTGAATTATATTATAGTAGTGGAAAGAGCTATTTGTACTCTGCATGGGTGCTTATTTGGAGGCTGTAGGGCTGGTTTTGGATGGTATGTTTAATGTGGTTATGTTCAAATTCCTCTAGTTATTCTGTCAACCTAACATTTTGAGAGTCATACAAGTCACTATAATAGATCATAATACATGTTAGCATCGTCCTTTGCATGAAATAATTGAGTTAATTGGTTCCCATGTCGTTTGGCCTTTTATTTGCTGAGAAATCCAAGTCTTACAGAGGTGAGGTCTAAAGCCACATTCAGTCATCAGTGTGGGCAATGAAGCATCTTTTTTCCAACAGCTGCAGAGGTGTTAACACATATGTAGAAAATCTTCAGTATGGTATGATATGGTACGTTACCGTGTTGCGTCCCTGTCACGCGCTGGCAGGGAAATACAGGGTTTGGTCTCTTGTAGAGTAGCACTGAACGCAGCAGAGCAATGAGGCATTCCTGGACCATCTGTGTAACTTTAGAGGGACCAGCAGGCACAAGATGGACTGTCTACAGAGGGTGACGGCAATCAGGTTGAAGCCACAGCACTGCTGGAGCATGTGCAAGTCTGGTTCTGCTGGCTGGCTGGTGCTTTTTAGAGGGCCTCATTTCCTTTCTCTGGGTATTAGCCAGATATAAGGGCACACCAACCCAAAATTCTCCAACATTCTTCAACACACGCCATCCTTCCTAACCTTAGCCAACCTTACCCAAAACCAAACCCTAACCCTGGCTCTAATCCTAACCCTAACCCTCACCTCAACCAAAATCCTAATCCTAACCCTCATATGTTTTTGACATGTTACAGAAAGTCCGTTGAGTGTTTGTTTCATCACCAATACTGTCTGTCAAACGTCAATATTCTTCAACATACAGCAGCCTTCTCCACCAAACACTATAATTCTCCAGAAAATACTTTAATTCTCCAACTAACACCAACATTCTTTAACCAACACCAGTTTTCTCCACCGAACATCAGCATTCTCCAACCCACAACATTCTCCACCAAACACCAAGAATCTCCATCCCACACCAACACTGTCAAACACTAACAATCTCCACCAATCACCATAATTCTTAAAACATCAATATATTCCATTACCATCATTCCCTATCAAATCCTTATAGTGTTCCACAAACATAACTTACAAGCAAAATGAACTAAGGTGAATGAGGAAGCACATTCTAGAAACTCCTAACAGTCACACAGTTCACAGACCCAATGTCTGGGTTTCTTGGTTTGTGTTGGACAATGTTGGGTCAGTGTGCTTTAGGCTGAAAGTGCCTACTCTGGACACTGTTGTAGCCCCTCTAGTGTGGTTTTATCTCATTACAGCTAGGCTTTCTGAAGGACAAATACTTTTCCTGTCTTAGAGATTTTTCATCTAAAGATGAGATTCATCTCTTAATGCACTCTGGCTAGTTTTGAGAGGACTAACAACCTTCATTGAGATAGACCTCATGCTCTCTGTAGCCTTGCAAACACTTCTTAGATAACAGTATGAGCCACTCACATCAAAGCCTCATGTTCTGTGTGTCATGCTTTAGGCTGCAGACAATGCATCCTGTATAAAGGATCACATATACCTTCAGCAGCTTCTCTGTGTGTCTCTAATAATAACAATAAGAGTTCAGAAAAACACTGTGTGCTACCTCCAGGACTCACTGCATTAGTAGATTCTACAAAAATATACAAATATTATCCCATCTTGTAGATTCTTGCCATTTTAAATAGGTCTGCCCAACTGTGGAGAAGAACTGAACAAGTACTTTTCATGAAATAACTGTAAATGACATAGATGTGTCTATTTTGTGCTATATAAAAAAAAAAAAATAAACGTATTATGTATAGCAACACAAGTAGCCCAAGAAATACCAAATAATACTGTTAGCTGCTTTAATGGTATTACCATATTCTACAATTACCATGCAGAAACTGCTCTTTTCTGCTGATCTAGAAGCATTTTTTTCTTGTAACTGCTCCAGTTAAGAATTGTTATGAAGAGCCACTCTAAAGCCATCTACCAAGATGAATCTTGAATGTCTTTGTGAGTAATTGTTCAAGTTTGAGGATGATGACAAAACAATTATATACTTTGCTTGATGTTGTAGAAGGAGCACTAATCTGTAACAAATAGCCTCTGAAAACCTGAGTTTTATGTTTACTTGCATAATGAGTAGGTGTGTTCCCATTAGGGAGGCAGTCATGTGGAAAAATGGATAGAGCAACTCTTTTCTGCCATCTAGTGTGACAAGACAATACTGCTCTGAGTGACTAGTATACGTGGTATAACAAACCGTGATGCTTGTGTTAATGACCTGAGGAAATACATGCATCTACACTGATGTGTTCTGGTAAGATACACAAATTAAATTTCATATTTCTTTGTCAATCTTCATATCTTCAGTCTAACATGCAGTAGTGTGGAGTGACTAGCAACAGCCTGCTTATCTCATCCAGCAAATTGGAGTGGCTTCTTTTAAATGTAGTCTTTTAAACAAAGAAGAGAGTGAAGTACACTCTGACCTTATTCAAACTGCTTGATAGTGTATTGAGTCTTTATGTGGTCTAAACCAGAGGTGTCTTGTCTTGGGGTCCAAATGTGCAATGTTTGTGGTGGACAAAGGGCCAAAAAGACAAAACAATGTACAAACAAAGAAGGAAGTTTCCAATTTTTAAAAACATTGCAGAGCTTTATATTTTACTAAAAATAAAAATAGTTTCTAAAAATACTTACAATTTAATCAAAATATTATGCATAGAATAAAAATGTTTGTTCTCTCATTGGAAGAGGTGGTGGGGTTTGACTGGCCAAATCAAATGTCCTCATGGACCAACTTTGGCCTTTGTGTCAGACTTTGGACAGCACTGATCAAAATCTTGCATATACTGAAGCTGTTCGCTCTTTACTCCCTTTTTAACTGTTTTAACTGTTCTTTCTTCTTCTCTTTTTCTCTTTCTCTCCCTGTTTTTAATGTGTCCAAAATCATTTTATTACATTATCATTTCCTTGCTTAATTCTTTCCTTTTATTTACACTCACTATTTTGTTTGTGTTCACATCTGTATGTCTGTATTTGTGTGTGTCTGTCTGTTTGTGTGCTTGTATGTACACATCTGTGTGTTTTTGGACCTCGCTGCACACATTCATCCTTCACAGAGGCCACAGTGTTGAGTTATGATGGCAGCATGTATCTGAAGATCATCATGCCAGGCACCATGCACACAGAGGCTGAAGACCTGGCCCTTCGCTTCATGTCCCAACGCGCATATGGCCTTCTGGTGGCCACCACCTCCAAAGAGTCTGCAGATACACTGCGTCTGGAGCTGGATGGCGGCCGTGTGAAACTCACTGTTAATCTGGGTAACCTTTCTCACATACAACCATCATCCCATCAACATCAGCATCATCATTACCCTTCTCTTCTACTCCCAGTCTGTCTGGGTCTTTGTTACAGTTACAGTTGCCCCCCACCGCCCCCAATTCCATCCACTGCCCTCCTCAGGCCTTGAGCCCCTGTCCACAATTATGTGCTCCATCCCTGACCATGAGGCTCTTGCCTTGTATCTTCTTGGTTCTACCTAGACTTTAATTTAAGTTCAACCCAAGCTTTATCTGCTGCATCGGGATTGTACTGTTGAGTACCACAGAAAATCATTTTGACATCTCCCTGTGCTTGGATATAAACAGAAAGTTTGTTGACTCAAAACACAATTGTAATAGCAGCTAACTGGCAGTTGTTGAATTACATGAATAAATGTAATTCAAATAAGAATTATTAAAAATAATTACATTTACAATGGTTACAATACAGGCTGTAGGATGAGAAGGACATGAATGTCTGACCAAAGCTGTTCTCATGAAGTTTCATCCAACTTTTGTGGAGCAACACAGTAATAAAAGTAGTTGTTGGTCTATATTTATATTTATTGTTAAGCAGTGTAGAGTTGGGGAATATGGAACAAGTTGGAAAAGATAAAATCAAACTTGTAGTGCCACCTGTAAAAAAAACAAAAAAAAAAAACAAAAAAAAGCATACACTGACCATTGCATTCTTTCTCTGGGAAGATTGGTAAATATGAGTCCTAGTCAGTCTGTGGTCTATGGAGTCTGTGTAAACTCCACCCAAAGCACTATGCTGGGAATGTATAAGGCAAATTCTTCCCCCTGGAAAGCTATTCCAACATCTAAAAGAACAATTAATATTGATTTTTTAGTTTAAATAATAAATGTCCTTGACTGATGAATTCATGAAAGTGTTCTGCAAAAAAAAATTCTAATAAATGTTTACTGACATAATTCAGTAACTGCCAAATGGCTACCAATTTAAAAGTGTGTATGAGACCACAGGCTTTCTGTTTATTTGTAGTACAGGAAAACACATTGAAATTATTGTCTGTAGTAATCAGTGGTATGCTACAGATGCAGCAGATCGAAAGCAGGTTGTATTCCTTTAGCAAGAAGTTGATGAAAGAAAATCTAACTTTGGCTGTAGTACAAACCATTTGCCAGCAGATGGTGCCACCCGGGCCTACGTCATTGTAAAAGATGAACGCTGGGTCTTGATTTAGCAGTATTGTCATCATAATGTGTGCTTCTCATTAATCTTTTTTACCAAAGCAACAAGCTTTAGATTGTTTATGATTATCTGCCTTGTGTGTTTTATGGTTTTAAATTTGCAATTCAAATGCTGTGTGTTACTGAGACAAACGCAAAGCTTAATCTGTGTCTCAGAAACCAGTAAATAAAGGCATTTAATCATTTCTGTATTTATTTACTGCATTTAAAACATGGCCAACTGCCTTGTGTTCTACATACATTTGTCAGAATCTTCCTTTATATGAATGTTACATACCCAAAAGCCGCAGAAACATAGAGTTACAAGGCGAAGGTGCACTCAGTGGGACAGGTGCAGGAACAGCCTTTAGAGGATACACCATCTATCTTTCTCTCTCTTTCTCTCTCATTCTCTCACTCTCCTTCCTGCTCGAGGCTCTGATGATGGAACTTTTCATCCCTTCAATGGCGTGTATGTCTGCGGCCCTGGAGCGAACAGCCAGAGAGACCAGCTCACTGTCGTTTTACTTCCTTGCCCACAGAGGAACTCAAATCAGCAAATGTGGACCAAATCTGAACAAAATATGTAGTTTTACTTGGTTAACAGGTACACTTTAATGTACCTGTAGTCCCTCATATATGTAGATAGCACATTGCACCACTAAATAACAGCCTGTATACTAATATAATAAAGTATATTCTATTGGTTTTTTGGAATATACTGACAATACATAGCAATATATTTCATTTTCATGGTGGCAAGATTTTTAATGTTTGAGTCCTGCCCTATTACCTGCCTCTCTTTAAAAATCAATTGCTTTAATCAGGCAAACAGTATAGCTCAGTTTATAGCTAAACACAGTCACCATATGAGCATGGGTCTCAATGCCTGGCGCATTGAACCTAATCAATTAGCCACCGCTAATGCTAAGCCTACATGCAGTGCTTACCTCAGTGGACCAAGCCTTAGCACCTCTGCTTTGGCTAATTAGCGAATGTAAATTTCAAGCATAATCCACCAACCACAGGGATTGACAACTAAGTAATTAATCAACACAAACCGAACTTGGGGACGGACTTAGCTTAGCTTAAAACGATTAAACCTGCGCTAATAAGGATTAGATTGTTAGGAGATAATTATCCTGACTTGCATGAGCCTCATAGAGAGCCATGTCAAGAGGATATTACTTCCTTAGGATCTCCATATGCAAATTCCCACAGTTAGTGAAAGTGAAGCACGTGTTAGCTTATAAATGCTATAGTTACACACAACTGAACTTAGCCTACACATAAAGTCACACAAGTGACTTCAGCAATAGTCTACTTTGAAATATGTGCAGTATTTCTTTTCTGACATTCTCCTTTAGTGAGCCTGGTCCCTGGCTGTTTGACAACACTACTCCGTAGCGGTTGACAGCTCGAGACCACACATCAGTCTTAGCAGCTTGCACATACCACCAGCAGCCACCAGAGTGAGACAGAGACAATATAGTTTACAAAGGAAGCTCAATCTACAACACTGCCACCATTTTTGATTTGGCTTGATACAGCATACTGTAATTCAGGGCTTATGTCTAAGAGCCGTTTACCCCCAAAATTTCATATGATAGATAAGGGAGATCCTTATAGCCTGAAGGCATCTAATCTACCTTGTGTAATTATTTACACACTGCAGACCTGCCCTCTGCAAATAAAATCAAATCAAATAAAACTGATCAATATGTGTGGCATTAATATTAATACACATATGCATCCCACATGAATAATTAAGAGTAGACATATGTGAATAAGCATTGGAAAAGAAGTTGAAAGTATGTAGCAGGCTGCACTTGGCTGAAGTGTGCAGATCACCCTTTCCTGTATTATTTTTAGCTGGTAAATCGTCGGTTGCCCAAAAGCTCCACACAGCAAGCCAAGCTTTTCTGTCTGAATTAAAACTCAGTACTGATTAAACTCAGTAGTGATGAACAGCAGAAGAGTATGATGAAGGGTAGGAGAGTTATGATCCTGATGGTGGCTTAAAATAAGCTCCAAAACCAAAATCAATGTGTTTAATTGGGAAATTTTAAAGCAGGTAGTGGAAATCTAGAAGTATGTGAGTAAGGTGGGTTGTGCCAGCAAGGATTAATCTAAGCAGAGTTTAGAGTTAACCAATGATTTGTTGAGCAGTACTTAATTAAAACATGGATTAAACTCAACATTTAATAATTAAAGTTTCAAAGTAATAATTACAGTGATAATCTTACTGGAAAACTAAAAAAGGATTCAAACTTGTGGTTTAATTGTAACCTTGCTTATTTCATGCTAGGTTTAAAATATCATTCAACTGGACTAATGAAATAGTGTTTATTAACCAAATCTCTATGAGCCACAACTATAAGACACGGTTGATTACTACAGACAGTGCTGAAGCAAAAGCCCATAGACTACTATTATATTTTTCCTTTCGAGTTAACAAGTTTTCTCTTTTATCTAAGTACAGGGAAACATTTCAAAGTTATTGTCTGTGGTAATCAGCCATACTCTAAAGAAGCGGCAGATTGAGATTGGGATGAAAAACGCTGGAGAACTTGGAGAACTCCTTCAACAGATAAACCTTGGTTTAATCCAGGTTAAAGCTTAATCCTTACTGGTGCAACCAAGTGGTAATTTCTGAAACTAATTTGTTTTTTCTTTAAAACTTTATTTTTATTTGAATAAGTTACATATTGGCACATATTAAGTCATCAAGCTGGTGGAGCTCTCCAGGGCAAGACGGAGGAATGACAGGAGAGAAGGGTAAACAAGTGTGAAGGATAAGAGTGACTCTGACTCGAGGCATGTCCCCGGGTAGTGGCCCAGCAAAATGAACTCGGATGTCTGCAGAATGTACCTTGAAGGATGTAAAATGTTGTCTTTCTTTCTTTATCTCTTTCTCTCTCTCTTTTTCTTCTCTTTCCTCTTTTTGTTTTCTTCTTCCTTCTTTTCTTTCTCTTTGGTTCAATCTCACCATCTCACTCTCTCTCCCGCCAGATTGTATCAGGATAGACTGTAACCTCAGTAAGTGATTCTATGTGTTTATTGCAATTACAGCATGTTCTATTCTCTCTCTCTCTCTTTCTCTCTCTCTCCCTCTCTCTCTTTTCACATGCTTAGGTACACAAATGTGTTCCAATTATCACTACTGACAAATAGAAAAGCTACACACACACACACACACACACACACACACACACACATACACTGACACACATGTGTTTCCACTGTTGGGACATATGTGCAAATACATGCTGGGATAGTAACTGAGAAGTGTTGTTTCATGCTGTGTATATATATTCTCTGTAAGGTAAGTCACACTCACATATGGAGATACCTGTGTGTAAGTGTGTGTGTGTGTCTCTATTATTTATATTTACATTTATATTTTCATGCAACATATGATTCTCAATTCATATGGTTGATTTTTTAAGTAAAAAGAAGTTAACGCATCCTATAGAGAACACTCTTGTGCACGTTTTAAATGCACACTAACTCTTATTTGCTGAATTTAACATATTGTGAAACAAAAGTCATAAAATTTGGCCTGTGAAAAAGTTATGGCACATTTTTGTTTATTTATTTATTTTTTTTCCAACATGTAACACTAGGCACATAAATAAAAACTGTGTACTTAATTTGGAGAGAAATGCCACATTCAAGTTGGTTCCCTGTAGAGGATGTGTTAACTTATTTTTACTTAGAAAATCAACATAACGTTATTTGAACAGGGGTGTTCAAATTTCTGTATACCACTGTTCATAAATATGTACATAAAGCTAGTGATGGGGAGTCGATTCTTCGACTCTGATGCATCTGGGACTCCAAAACGTCTCCTGGCCAACAACTCTTAGAGTTAAAATGTTGTAGTCGACTCTGTGTCGCTATTGACTCTTTGTTATTTCAACCTAGTACCTTTGAGTAAAATGGTATCCTCAAAGCTAGTCATTTAGCATGTGAAATTGCATAAAGAAAGAGGGTTTTTGTACAGTTTGCTTAACTATCAGGCTTAATGGCCATGTTTGAGCATTATCCTGCTAACCTAATTGAGTCTTTCCATGCCAGCTGCTCACCAGCCACTGTTAGTGCACGCTCACACATTCTTCAGCTCATAACTTAAATTTGCCTGACACATCTTGGTTTAGTCTACGAATTTGTATATCACTATGAGCTGGTTATTCTGTTGTAGTCTACAGAGGTGACCTCCCAACTCCACTTAATTTTAACTAGTACAGCACCAGAGCCCCAGATAAATGGATATAGCAAAGATTAAACCATCTCAAACGTAGTTTACCCACTTTTTTTGAGCAGTTACAGATCATAATGAATTGACTCCTGAAAGCCTTTAGTCACACATCACTTACTAAACCTTGTTTCTCTTGCTTAATGTACCAAAAACAGTCATAAATATTTTTACATGGCCATTTTACAATCTCTTATCCTTTAGAATTAAGAAGCCTGTTTATGGCATTACACAACATAATACATTCATTGTGTAGCTTAGTTTCTGTATATGGACTGTGTGGACTGAGGAATGAACATTTTTGAAACCTATTTTAACAAAGTGAGTGGGCCCTTTCTTGTAAGTTAATGTAACAAAATTTATCTATGTTGGAATTTCTGTTGTCCTATTCACCGTGAAAGTATCACACTATGAGAAGGGCAGCTGGTATTTTCAAATGGTGTAAAAGAAAAGAAATTGGAGTTCAGAGGTTTAACATTGATGATTTGTTTTTGAATCAGTATACTGGACACTCAATAGCATCTATGGCATCAAGTGATACCATTATTTGAGCAGCAGGAGGCGCCATAACTTACCACTAGATTAAGCTGAATAGTGGAACGCCAGCCATAAATGTGCAAATTGCATCACTGAGGAATAACATCACACAGCATTGGAGGCTTTCACATCGGAGTGGCTTGAAAAGCTAGAAATGAATACCGTTAGGTGAGGGTTTAGAGATTTAATCTCTCTAAAGTTGCAGTGAACAGCTGCAGTGTTTGAAAGTGAGTTATGTTTCTTCAGTATGGAAATAGTGTCCTGCTCACATCAAGTTATGTTAGAATTAGCAGATCAGAGGAGATAGATGCCCTTTATACTGGGCAGCCAGTTTATTAGAAATATTTGTTTATTAATGTTTCTTATCACCTTTAAAGGGCAGCAGTGAGTAATGTTTGTTTATTTGATGTTTGTTAATAACACCTTTAGAGGGCAGCAGTGAGTGATGTTTGTTTATTCAATGTTTTTTAATAACACCATTAGAGGGCAGAGGTGAGTGATGTTAGTTTATTTGATGTTTGTTAACAGCTTTAGAGGGCAGCAGTGAGTGATGTTTGTCTATTCAATGTTTCTTAACACATTTAGAGGGCAGCAGTGAGTAATGTTTGTTTCTTCAGTGTTTGTTAATATTTTTGAAGGGCAGCAGTGATTAATGTTTGTTTCTTCAGTGTTTGTTAATACTTTTGAAGGGCAGCAGTGAGTAATGCTTGTTTATTTGATGTTTGTTAACATGTTTGTTTATTTGAGCTCAAGCTGTGTCTATCTGTCTGAGCAATTAAGCATTGACACCTAGGAAGCAAGATAGCTAATCAGCCAGTTTGGCCGTTTTAGACTTTTATAATTAAACAAAAAAGGCAATTGCATTAAATAGCAACTCCCTGAAAGCTAAAACTTCATGATCATGTTCTATAACAAAGCAGAATTCAGTGCCACATAAGCTAGGGTGTTGCAAGGGTATCCTGGCTGGCATCAGCTTTGGCATTTTACAAACACCCTCCTCCCCTCTGCCCTCTCCTTCCCTCCCTGCTCTATTTCCTTCCACTCTCAACACTTTTCACACAGCGGTGCAGAGAGGCAGTGCTACGTGACATATGGGCAACTCACAATGCCATTAGAACCTGCTGCCAATGTCATGCCCTCTCACCTACACAGAGAGAGAAAAAACAGAGAAAGAAAGATAGAAAGAAAGTGAGGGAGACAAAAACAGGTAAAGTGGGAGAGAGAAAAAAAGTAATAGGGTAAGAAAACAAATAAAAAATATAAAAACTAAAGAAACAGAAAGAAAAAGAGAAAAAGGAAGTCAGGGAGAAATTAACAGATTGAAAGAGGGAAAAAGAATGAGGATGGAGAAAGAGAGACAAAGAGAAAGAAAAGGAAAGAGAGAAACAAAATAGAAAGGAAAGTTGGAGAAAACAGAAGGAAAGGTCGAGAAACTGAGCAATTGAACAGAAGAACAGAAAGAAAAAAGAAAGAGACAATAGGAGAGCTATAGAGAGAATGTGTGTTTCTATTGGTGAAATGGTGAGTTAGCTGAACAGTGTTGTTTCTCGGTGTGGGGGAAGGTTGACTCATGTCTCTCTGCAGGTGTACCCACACTGAGCTACAGCCCACCTGAATCTACAGCAGGTGATAATTAACTTTTTCTGTTTTTTTCAGACAGCGTGTTTGTGTTAGAATGCATAGCGGTGTTGAAATCCAGGATTTTAAAGCAGAATGCCCCCTCGTGTCCCATTAGTTATTGATTCTACATTCAAATAATTCAGTGGTGCATTTTATTTTGATTGGAAAGTTGACTCAAGATCAGTCTTTATGACCAAAACTGATGCGCAGCCATTACAGAAAAAAAACAAAAGCTAACGATCCAGGACAGAAATCTTAAATTGAGGTATTTTATTGTCCCCATAAAGCTTTTTCCTTTCATTTCTTTCTCTCCTTCTCTTTGTCTCTCTTAAAATATGAAAATACAAAGATGGAAATAGACGTATGAACCTCATCATCATCGCACCATTATTCATGTTGCCTGAGCAGTGACCGGATTTTTGATTTGATTAGCAAGTATGAGAATGTTGTTGAGAGAAACGCAATTGCAGTATTCAAAATACAATTCAGTTGACTTTCATTTACTTAAGTACTGTTAGATGTTCGTCTAAAGTATAACTATATAAAACTTTAGACCAGTCATAGCATATTCTTGGCATTTTTCCTACGAAATTTAATTGTTGGGTATAAATCGAGTTCTGTGGTAATATTATTATTATTATTATTATTATTATTGCACTAATCTGATTTGTACGTTTAGAACATGCCAGACACGTTTACAAATAATAACTGACATTCTCACTAAAGATGCGCTAACATTGACTGAACACTACAGAAAAAGAACATTTTTTCAGTTATATAGTACTCCGTCCAAACCTGCAGGCCGTGCTGTCATTGGAAATCAGGCTGTTGTCCAAAAACATTATAGTGTAGCAGCCTTTATTCTACAGCAGAGTGAGTGTTCTATAGTCTATAAACAGTATAAACAGTTGCTGTGTTGCAGACATAAGGCAAAAGTGCAGTCTGTTCTTGTAGTAATACCTGCCACTGCCAGAAGATGTGTTCTAAAAAACACTTTTCCGGCGATTCTGTCATTTCTAAAGAACAAAAGTGTTAAAATTAGATAGCTATCTACATGAACAAATACTTTAATGTATGATTGACCTCAAAGTTAATTAATTTTGTACTTAAATTGATTTTGTTATCAACCTCCACAATTCAAACATCAGTATTTTCTCATCATCATGTCTAACAAAGACAGCCCATGTAGAATAAGAGCCTGACAATTCAAATCAATAATGATTCTTAAATGTAAGTGTTAAAAATGGATAGTTTGCTACACATGAAAACTTTTAATACTGGAATAAACTCATTGTTACTTATTTTATTACAGCATCACCAAACCTCATTTCATGGTCAGCAGCCCTTACGACTGAGCCTCAAAGTAAATATTACAACATTGAAAATCTCCATATTCATCACTATATCACATGAATCATATTAAGTGAACTCAGTACTTGAAAAATTAAATATGGAACAGTTTTAAGACACAGTTTCAGATGTTTTTATCAAAACTTTCACTTAGCATTTTTTGCTCATATGGCCACATGTAGTTACAAAATCCATATTCATGACTCCAAAATTCATATTCATCATTTTTAGACTCATTAACACTTCTCATGTATTTGTCTAGAGGCATTTAAAG